CCCAGTTTAATCTCACTTTTTGTGGGTTCACTAAATGTTGCCACATATTCCAAGGAGCCAGTCATACAGAAGTTTAGGACTGGAAGTAAATGTCCTAATATTAAGAATCAACAATACTTTCTTTTTGTTTTCTTTTTTTCTCCCTTTCTTTCTGCAGAAAGAAGTAGGTGATATGGTGCAGGTAACGCATGAACAAACCCAGCAGTCCAAAAACGTAGATGAATCTGAAATCCTGAAGTCTCAGCTTAAAGAGGAACAGAGCAGGAAAGCCAACGTGCAGCAAGAACTGGAGGAGCAGAGAAATAACCTTTTGACACTGAAAACCCAACGGCCCATTGAAAGAATCGAGGAGAAAGAAGTGATTGATTATTATAGAGATCCAGTTCTGGAGAGCGATCTTGCTAAAATCTCTAATCAAATTGAGAATGAAAAGAAGACAAGAGCCCATTTACAGGCAGATATTGAGAAAATGAATAATATATTGCTCGAAATGGAAAAAGATAGGAGGGTTGTGAAAAGCCAGCTGCTTACAAAAGAAGTTACAAAAACAGAGAAAGATCCAAATCTAAATGCCCAAGCGGCAAGACTCCAAGAAGAAATCAAGTATCTACGTGATAATTCAACTTCTTCCTCTGAAATTGAACAGCTCAGGAAAGAGTTGAACCTCCTGGAGCAAAAGCAATCAAACGTTCAAAAGAAAGTAGTGGTAAAAGAGGTGGTGAAGTTAGAGAAGGATCCAGAAATGCTAAAGGCAATCCGATCACTGCAAATGCAAATTGATGAAGATAGCTTCAAGAAGAAGTCTGCAATGGATACAATAGGGAAAATGAAAAGCAAAATTGAGGATCTTGAGAAGCTGATCGAAGCAACTGAACCCCAAGTCGTCGTGAGAGAAATAAAACAAGTGGAGCAAGACCCGGAGCTCCTAAAGGAGTCTTCCACTCTTCAAAAGCTTATCGATGAGGAGAGGAACAAGAACTTGTCACTGGCCAGTGAACTGACACAGCTGCAGAGCAAATACAGCACTATGGGGAAGTCAAAGCCTAGGGTGGAGATAAAAGAAAGAGTCCATGAGATTTTTCACCTAGACCCAGAAACAGAGGAAGAGATAGCACACTTGAAGCGAGAACTCCAAGAAATTTCAAGGAAAAGAAAAAGAGTTGATCAGGAGGTAGAAACAGCCTTGACTGAACTGAAAGTTCTTAGATCCCAAGCGCCTTCTGTGGAGTTTAAAGAAGTCATCCAAGAGGTGGTGAAAACAGAAAAGAGCCCAGAGATATTGAGAGAAATAGACCGGTTGAAAGAACAGCTAAATGATCTTGTGAATGCAAACGGTCGGTCCCAAGAACAGCTGATCAGGTTAGAAGGAGAAAGGGATGAGTGGAAAAGAGAAAGAGCCAAAGTTGAAACCAAGGTTGTTACGAAGGAGGTTGTCCGATATGAGAATGATCCTCTATTAGAAAAAGAGGCTGAATGTCTTCGCCAAGAAGTACGCAATATATTACAAAAGAGAAGAGCAACAGAAGATGCCATCTATGACCTGCAGAATAAACACATGCTTCTGGAGAGAAGGAAGCCTGAGGAAAAAGTGGTGGTGCAGGAGGTAGTTGTTACTCAAAAAGATGTGAAGCTTAGGGAAGAGCACAAGAGGCTGAGCAGGAGTTTAGACGAACAAATAGGCAACCGGCGAAGGATGGATCATGAGGTCCAATTGCTTCGGGCAACAGTGGAAGACAATGAAAAACTGCTGAACTTCCAAGACGACAGAAACAAAAGGCTTGCTCTGGAAAAGGAGATGCGGCAGATCACTTTGAGGATAAAAGAAATTGAAGAAAGCCCAGTTCCAGTTCAAGAAAAAATAATCATGGAGGAAGTAATCAAGGTAGAGAAAGATCCAGTTCTTGAGCAATCTAGTACCAATTTGCGAACTGAACTAGGTAAGGAGAAAGTTCAAGTATTGAGCCTCCAGAGGGAATGCAAGAACTTTCAAGCCCAGATTGAAGTTCTACAAAAGACAAAGTCCCAGGAAAAGACAATATATAAGGAAGTAATCAGAGTAGAAAAAGACAGAGTGCTTGAAAATGAGCGAACACGTCTCTGGGATCTGCTAAGCAAAGAACGAACTGCTCGGCAAAATGCAGAAGAAAGTATCAGACATCTGAAAGAGAAGATTGAGAGAGCAGAAGGCATGAAATGCACATGGACCAGAGAAGAAGCTGATCTCCAGAAAACTCGGAATGTGACAGTGCAAGAAAAAGCTAGTCTTGAAGATGAATTAAGGGAACTAGAAAAAGAGAAGCAACAAAAAGCCCTTTTCCTTAGAGAACAGACCAAGCTCTTGAGCCAAAAGACTGAAAGTGACAGGCAGAAGAAGATCCAATTTGACCAGGAGGTTTCTCGTCTGGAATCAGATATACTTATGGAGAAGGATAATATTTATGAAAAAGAGAGGACCATCCGGGAACTTCAGTCCAGAATCAACAGAGAAGAACTGAACAATGAGACTCAGATGAGAGAGACAAATCTCTCTACCAAGATATCTATTCTGGATCCAGAGACTGGTAAAGATATGTCACCCTATGAGGCTTATCAGAGAGGCATGATAGATAGATGTCAGTATATCCATTTGCAAGAACTAGAATGCGATTGGGAAGAAATTACAACCCTGGGATCCAAAGGGGATGTTTCTGTTCTTCTTGATAAAAAGAGTGGAAAACAGTACTCCATTGATGATGCTCTGCGGTTCAAAAGGATTACAAAAGAAGAATACCAACTTTACAAGGAAGGCAAAATCCCTATCTCTGAGTTTGCTCTACTTGTAGCAGGGGAAACTAAGCAGAATACATCCCTTTCTTTAGGTGCAATCATTTCCAAGTCTCCAATTTCATCTCCTGTTTTTCAACAAAAACAAAGCATCTTCTCTTCTGGCCCACAGATGGCTTTCTGTGATGATACTTTTCCTATCGCTGGAGTGTATGACACCACCTACGACAACAAATATAACATTAAGTCGGCACTTTGTAAGAAATTGGTGGATCCAATGACAGCCCAAAAGCTTTTAGAGGCACAAGCTGCTACTGGAGGCATTGTTGATCTTATCTCAAGAGATCGCTACTCTGTCCACAAAGCCCTTGATAAAGGACTGATCGATAATACTTACATACAGAGGTTGTTGAATGCTCAGAAGGCTTTCACGGGGATTGAAGATCCTGTCACCAAGAGAAGACTGGCTGTAGGAGAAGCAGTTCAGAAAGGATGGATAACTCAAGATAACGCCTTTCCCTATTTACAAGTCCAACACCTAACTGGAGGACTAATAGATCCTAAGAAAACAGGACGTATCCCAATATCAGAAGCTATCCAGACAGGCCTGATTAGTAGTGACCTGGCCACATTACTACAAGATGAATCGAGTTATGAAAAAGATCTTGTTGATCCTATCACCAAAGAGAAGATCCATTATAAGGAGGCCATGGCTCATTGCCAGAAAGATCCTTTAAGTGGGCTCCTCCTCCTCCCAGCTACCTCCGAAGGATATCAGTCTGCAATCCATTCAGCTGCTCTGCCTCGATTCAGGCACTAAGCAAGGCAGTATAATTTTAAAATTGTAAAAAGTCTAAAATGCTTTTTATCCTCGCCCTATCATGTTCAGATGAACAAAGTGTCTTGCAATTATAGATAGCTGTGTATTATATTAGATAGCTGGACTTATTTCATTATACCAAGTTAGCAGTACTTCATACAGAAGTATTTCCAAAAGTAGAAGGGAATCTAATATGGGAGTAAATACAGTATCTATTATAGGGAATAAAGGGTTTTTTTTAATATAATTTTTTTTCATAATGCTTACAAAATAGCTCCTTCCTGTAAAGTCTAAAGGGATGCATGTCACAATAGTTGGAGTTTAAAGATCATGCATGCAATAAAAGTTAAAATACTGACTGCTATCCTGGTTTTTTTTAAACAGCTAACAATCCCTTTCCGTCTGATGTATATAATGCTTCACATGTTCCTGAGTCCCCAGTTGGGAACTAGAATTCAGCAGCATCTGAGAACCACAGATTCTCTATCCTAATGTAACCATTAAACTATAGAACTCAAAAAGTAACAGCGTCAAACATTACATGGAAGCGGAGAGAGAATGGACTAAGTCTAAAGTAACAGAAATAGCAAAGAAATAAAACGCAAATCAAATTAATAGCAAATATGTCACTAGAGAACACACACTAGTCATTTCGTACATATTGTAAAAGAGCTATATATAAAATTAAAAATCTCTTTCCATATTGCACTGAACTTTATGTGTATATATTTTTCTTGGCAACAAAGTGCTTTGCCATATTCTTCTTTTAAGACTTTTTTTCTTTGCAGTCTAATCTATAGGTCAGTATTTCATAGTGGTTTCCCATCTTAAGTACTAACTAGTTCTGACCCTACTTAGTCTATTGAGATACATGGCTAGGTACTGCCACTTACCTGGGCAACAGGGCTAGAATCTAGTTTTAAAATGATTAACTAGATACTGTGGTATGAAGTTTCTACTGCTTTTTTATGGTATATAGTTCACATTCAAAATAGGGATACTGATTATAACTGTCTTCAAATTGCCCCCTTTTACAGCTATTTTTGACAGTTTTACAACCCTCAAAACTCATTAATGCAAAAGTTATTGATGCATGTTTTTATTTATGCAAACAGGAATATTAACAGCAACAGCAACAATTAATGATAAAATGTCTTAAGTACTAACAGCCATTTTAAAAATAAATCCATAGAAAAGAACTACTATTGGATGCTAGGTTGCTTTTCTACAAATGCAAATAAAAATAAAACTACAATATTTGCATAATGGAACAAGGACTTCTCACTGAATTCTTCCAGATTTTCTTTGTGTACTGTAATTTCCTATACTAGAGTACATTTCCAGTGGGCACAAGGGACCACGCAAGGGACCACTGAATCAGCGTAAGGTTTCTGTCTTTCTATCTGTATACTGTCAAGGTTCCATCAGAATCCAGAGATTTCATGGTCTCCACCTTCAACCAGTATATTTGGCTAAGTTCAACAAATAGGATTTTTCAAGTATTTATTTATTCATTTATTTTATGTCCCACAGTATCTAATTCAGGCCTTGGCATATTGATTATCAGATTCTGATATTTTTATTTAATTAGAAGCTATAATATTTCTGAAAACCCAAACTGCAGCTAAAGAAGCCTCTTAATTATTTAATAGTCTAGATGATACAAAGTTCTTGTTTTTATTATGGATACTTATAGAAAGAAACTGTAATATCTAGTTCCTCCACTCAAAACACACACTCTCACTTTTTTTAGCATGGTTAGTTTTCAATAGTGTTGTGAAATACAACGTGAGTTCATATTAAAAAAGAAAAAATCAACATCAGTGCCTTGGCTACTGTAGGATGTGCTAGTCTAATCTAAATAATAATAACCATATCTTGTAATGCTAGTACTTGAACTGCAGCAAAGAGTGAATAATATATTACAGAAACTGGATTTAGTTCAACTTTTTTGTCATTCTACTTCTCAGATAGCAAGTCATACTACTCCTTTTCATGTACTAAAAGCATCAAGCTTTTTCACCTCTGTTAAAGAAGAACTATCAGTCCTTACAAGGATCTGGATCATTTACAATTGTCAAAATGTTTGCATGAATATTAAACTGGGCAAAAGGCCAAGAACATTTTTAATGGAGGTTACGGCCGCTCCTTTGCTACGTTGTTTAGAACGAGACGATCCGGTAGCTATTTCCAGCAAAGCATTAACCAGAACTTCTTAATCTCATGACCCATACTGTTCTACCACAAATTGCTTAGCATCCCGTGGAGCTTGCCAGAAATATTGATGGTTCAAAGCAGCTTTGGCTGAGATTCGCTTGTTGGGATCATACACTAGTAGTTGCTGTAATTTAGAAAGAGAGAAATATGATTGTAACTGAGTCTTTAAATCCTGCCCATTTACAGCAAACCCTTCAGTGTTAATTCAAGTAAACCTGAAATAATCCTTTGCAGTTCTCATTTTGTCAAAAGGTCCACTTCTATCCTGCTAATGACTGCTTGACTAAATGGGCCTTTGGCTTGATTTGGCAAGCTGCCTCATACATTCTCATTCATACAAATGTGGGATAATTTGTCAATGCATGCTGAGAGGTCATAATTCATAGAAATTAGAAATCGCCTTCCTTTAAATGTCAAAATGATACATTCCAATTCTTGCAGTGGACATTTTCCAATTCTTGTCATAAGTATTAAAAAAGAATTACAACCTCTTTACAAGCCTTCTACTCACCAGCAATAAGTCTCGTCCATCTTGATCCAAGTTTGGAATGATCACCTTCATATCTTTCCTTGGCCATTTGGGGAAATTTCCTTTATAGTCAGGAAGATTTGTGACTCCAGGCCACAGTGATTCAGTAGGAGTACCAAGTGTGCGGAAAATCCGGAATAGCTGGTCAATTTCAGAGTCTCCAGGAAACAAGGCTTTTCTAGTCACCTGGACGAAGGAGAAGAAGGATCGTTCACCTGGATTATTACACATATGATCTTCATTCTGGGTAACAATACTCTCTCCAAATAAAATGTTTCCATTATAAAAAAAGTCTGGTGAATCAGAACAGAACAATCTAGTAGCCTACCAAGTATCAATGTGAAAAGAACAACAGACCTCTACAACTCTTCCAGTACATGGTTTACAAAATATTCATAAAATTCTTCATTATCAAGTTACTATTCTCTGTCTCCTTCTGCCATTTTCCTGGTTCTGGCTATCTGGAAAAGAGCAGTACTCTAACTGATCTCTTGTAGATAAAACTTTAGAAATTAGATTAAATTTATCTTTCGAAACTAGTTTTTAAGCATAGACCATATTTATGACTCTTGCTGTTTCAAAATTCAGTATTGCAAAAGATACCTGGAGAAGGACTTTATACACATTTAATTTAGTATTGTAAAATCATGCTTCTCTTAGACACTAGCAACCTCCAGTGGCTGCTTCTATACTGTTCTCCAGTCTTATAAACCAATGAACAGTTTAAGTAGGCAAAAACAAAGGGAAATAATATGTTTGAAGCTTGAGGGAATTTAGTTAGATGCTGAGACTCAAGACTAATGAAGTAAACTAAAGCGTAAGCTTTTAATGGCATTTTGGCAAATAATATTGAAACAAGGATGTAGGAATTGTGGTGCTACAGTGGTTAAAATGCAATATTTCAGGCAAACTCTGCCCATAGCCAGAAGTTTGAGCCTGACTGAGATCAAGGTTGACTCAGCTTTCCATCCTTCCCAGGTCGATAAAATGAAGACCTAGATTGTTGGGGGCTATATGCCAACATTGTAAGAGCCGCAGTGGGTGCAGTGGTTAGAGTGCAGTACAGCAGGCTACTTGTGCTGACTGCCGGCTGCTGCAATTTGACAGTTCAAATCCCACCATGCTCAAGGCTGACTAGCCTTCCATCCTTCCGAGGTGGGTAAAATGACCCAGATTGTTGGGGGCAATATACGGACTCTGTAAACCGCTTTGAGAGGGCTGTAAAGCACTGTAAAGTGGTATATAAGTGCTATTGCTATTGTAAATTGTCAGAGACTGCAGAGAAGCACTATAGAGCAGTATATATGTCTAAGTGCTACTATTATTGCCATTGCTGAATTTCCTTTAAATCTTCCTCATCCTTCCTTTTATCGTTACAACTGCTAAAACATCTGTCTTGGATAGGCTACTTGCAGTCTCATTATCATCTTGAGGTCATCCTTGTACTGTTCTGTGAGGCTTAATGCGTAATGTTTGCTTTTTGTAACTCATCCAAAAAAAGAAATTCTTCAGTAATACCATGACATCACCAGACATGGCTTCTGCAAATTGCCAGAAGAAAACTGTCCAACTTCAGATTAGAGTTCTAACAATTAGAAATGACAGGAAGAGAAAGCAAGATAGGTTTCATGATATCTTTCAGAATGTGTAGTGATGAAGAAAAAGGAATTAAAAAAATACATAGGCACTCACAAAGCCCTTTTTTTGCATATGCATTTTTCACCATTTATATTGTGATTATGATGTTCCTTTGAAACAGAAAAAGATGAAGAATATTACCATTTCTGCAAAGATACAGCCAATGCTCCAGATATCCACAGCTGTCGAGTAATATTTACAACCCAGTAAAATTTCAGGAGCCCGATACCATAAGGTTACCACCTAAAAGGAATCAAATTTAATAGTTGTTTGATATATAAGGCCTTCTCAGGATTAATTAGAAACATTTATTATGTTGAACCATAAATCCAAAGCACATTGAACATTTTTCAAGTCATTTACTACAAGTTACATCAATACAACCTGCTGGAATTCCATGTCCTCTATTACTTTACGTCAAACAAGTTTCATATCTCTTGATATTCTCTCTGTTCTAGTTTCCCCCTTTACTAGAAAGCACTGGACAAAAAAAAAAAAGCAATATCATGTGGGAGATGGACAGAAACATAGACCAAAGATCAGGCGAAGGAATAGTCTCAAAGGCAAAAAAAAAGGGGGGGGGGGGAATCCAAGTCTCGGATCAACCACGTTAAGGGCTTTCATCAGAGATTTCTATGAAATCAATATTGGATATGCATTTTTTGGGAAACTAAAATCCAAGAAAGTTCACACACCAGTTCATATGAAAGTCTTGGAGGCTACATAGATAATTTAAAAAGACATAAACCCTTTTTCTAATTTAACACCTTCCAATTCTAGACTGGTGGAGATTGGCTGTTTTACAAAATTTACCTTTACCCTCCTCCATTTACAAAATAATAAGCTTATCTACTCTAGTCACTGAAAGGACCCTTGCCTCTTTATGTCAAGGTAACATGATGCAATTGGTTGAGAATATCAGCCATAATAATCCGAAGGGAATAACTTTTTATTCTTTCCAACCCAATTTAATATTCAGAAGGTATGCCATAAAACAACTCAAGATCCATCTTCAGAATAACCTTGAAAATAGCCTAGAATATTTAATGCAAGGGAAGTCCCCAACTGAAAAATCAGTAGAATCTGACTGGAAGCTACATTAAAAAAGATCCAGTCCTTCAATGTTGCCAACTGCTCCATTTAACACACACACACACACACACACACTTTCTCCCCAGTCATGAGATCCAGAGTAGAGCTGAGATAAAGGATTAGAAAACATTCCAGAAGATATGCTCTGTATGCTTTCCCTATCTTGTTTATATGAATCTTGATCCAAAATCTCAACTAGTTTCACACATCACAGTACAGTTTCTTTTGATATAACTTAACAGTTCAAAATCCCCTGAGTTTTCTAGTGTTAGTGTTTTCCTCTATAAGCAGGCAGCAGTTTTACTCCGGGTGGACTCTTAACATACTGCAACAACCATTCTATCTGCTGCAGTCAGGTGATCATTATGGGATGAGATTATTGCCCTTTCTATACTGGCAGGGGGCCACCCTTTTTCTTATGGCCCCTATATGCATCTTCTAGCACCAGTCTGCTTTGGGCAGCAGAAGAGCCTAACTCTTTTAAATAGATCTCTCCCCAGGTCTGTCACAACCCTAAATGATTTACTTCCAATGTGTTTAACAAATGCCCCTTTTATCATACCAAAAATGAAAATTTAATGGTAAATTTCAAGAGGTTCTTAGGGCTACACGTAAGATTTTTTTTTGAAGAGGCTACAAATATAGCTCCCTCTTTCTTACATGCATACTTATCTCTGTGTGTTTTCTTTTCAGGGGCTGACCCAGCAACCTATGTAACTGAGAGACAGACATTACCTCATGTGTATAGGTACGTAGGGGAACTCCAAAAGCTCTAGCTAGGCCAAAATCGGCTAGTTTGATGGATCCCATTTCATTTATGAGCAAATTCTGTGGCTTCAGGTCTCTGTGGATAACTCTGTGAGAATGACAGAAGCTTACACCTTGTAACAGTTGGTAAAGATAGCTCTAGAAAGAAAAAGTTCAGAGAGTACATATGAAGGAACTATAAGGCTGACATATCATTTCCTAAGCAAAATACCAAAAGCACTTAGACTTATATACAGCTTCACAGTGCTTTATAACCCTCTCTAAGCGGTTTACAGAGTCAGCGAATTGCCCCCGACAATTTGGGTCCTCATTTGCCTAGCCTGCAATATGCCATTCTAACCACTGTGCCACCATGATGTATATCAAAATTCTATACCACATATGGGCTTCCAAAATAGTGACAGCTACAAAAGGTTAGAATAGTACAGTATATCTTAGCAGCCATGTGGTGATTGTCTACATTTTTTGCTAACTAGATGACCTCATCTTAATTAGCAAACAAAATAAACAGATTCCAGGTTAATATCTTTTTTTGCCCTGGAGAATGACACTATTCCCCTTTGGGTGGTTTGGAGAAACATGATCGACTGTCATTTGGGCACTGTAATTCTGGGAGAAGGGACTGGAATAAATTTTTTTCCTCACTCTGTGATGGTCCAAGTGATGGCCCAAGATCACGAACCTGACTTTAGACAGGACTACATCTCACCATCACCTGATTTTTAACCTAGTGCTTTCACACCAAGAAGCAGCATTTACTTAACTCTGGTTTCAGATATATTATTCCACACTGAGAATTAGATACAATTTGAATGAAGACAATGTTATAGGCTTTTCAAATATTGTATGCATGTCAGCATTCTAGGTCCCTTTTCCTTTAAACAACAGCTTTGTATTAAAAAAAAAAACCAGCATGAGATAAAGCTGTTTAATACTTTTGCACAGCTGCTACTTTTGCAATGCCAGATCATTTCCTGAAATCTTTTTTCCTTTACAGTTAAAAATGAATTTCTAAACATGGGTTGGGAAATCCATGCAGATTTGAAAAGGGATGCAATTGGAAAAGCAATCTCAGCAGGAAGAATAAATATTAAATATTTAATTCTTCCCATAACAACTTCATAACTGCTGTCAAAACTAGGTTTTCTATCATAAGCCAGAGGAAAAAAGAATAAAGTATATGTCAAAGATTTTGCAACATTCCAGGCAAAAGGAACTGGAAACCTTTTTGAGCACAAGGATCACATGGGATACCAGCTGGTCAGTTAGGAGCCAAAAACAACCAGGGGCACATAGTCAGCCCTAAGAAGTAGACCAAATCAGAAAAAAAATAAATCCATAGGTATACTTCTATGATAAAGTATAGTTATACTATACTTTTATTGGACCAGGCTATGGTAACAGTCTTGCAAGTCTACCTGTGGTTTCCCTTTCCTCCCACTTATACTCCAGGGACTTGCAAGGTGAGCTAGTCTGTCTTTTTTGAACACTTTCCTGCCTCCCTGGACTCAATTCATGCAATGCTGGCTGGAGAATTCTGGGAGTTGAAGTCCACAAGTCTTAAAGTTGCCAAGTTTGGGGACCCCTGCCTTAATACCTTCTGGGTGGTTTCTCCAAGATTATCTCCCTGGCTTCCTACAACCATACATATATATACACCAGTGGTGGGATTCAAACTTTTTTACTTCTGGTTCTGGTCAGAACCTGCTGAATACCACTTCTGACATACAGATATATACAATCACCTCTCCTCCCTCCTCCCCCGCCCCCATTTTCTTTTTCTTCTCTAATTGTATAGCTGGCAGGGTGTCTATCAGAGTTGGTATTCAGCAGGTTCTGACCAGTTCTGGAGAACCGGTAGCGAAAATTTTGAGTAGTTCGGAGAACTGGCAAATACCACCTCTGACTGGAGATTTTACAGTATCCTTCCCCTGCCATGCCCACCAAGCCACACCCTCATAAATGGTAGTAAAAAAATTTGAATCCCACCACTGGTGTCTATGGCATCCCTAGGAATGTGACAATCATTTTTTGGCAGGCAGACAAAAAGTACCATTGACTGCAATGGGCCAGAGAGAAGTAGTAGGTTGAATATTCATGTTGCAAAGGAACAATCTGAAAGTAGTTTGAAAGTGTGCTACTGCTAGGTAATTGCCAGAGACAGATAAAGGATGGTTCTCCAGGTTGGGGCCCGTGAGGGAGGGTATTTGAGCCACTTGCTACCTTGACTAAGCTTAGAGGAAGCTCTCCTGTACGAGATGAGTCCATGTACTTTTTAAGATCTTGATTCAAATATTCAAAGACTAAGTATAGCTTCTTCTGATTATGCACTACATCAAGGAGCCTGGAAGAAAATTAAACACAGTGACTTGAGTATTTAGATTTCGATAAAATATGTAAGCATGATTACTGCAAGCTCTTCAATACAGCAGAAGGAGAATCAGCGTAATAGAGTGATTACAGTGCCTTAAGAATAGATTAGGGGAAATCCAATCGGAAATCTTTACAGGAAACTCATTGGGTGACATGGGTCAATTCTCTCATCTCTCAGAGTTTTTATAATTTATGTTATGGTTGTTTGCCACCCAGAATCACTTTTTTGAGATGGGCAGCTATAGAAATTGAACAAATAAATAAATATAAAATAAATAACAACAAAGGAAAATTGTGCAAGCTAATATAAATTCTTTGGAGGCAGGGGATAACATCGCAATACACAAGTTAAACATGTAAGAGTTAGGTTAAAGTCTATTTTTATGTATGAATAAATGCAATATTGGAATTGCTATCTGTGAAAATATATTTGATATTGATATTTATAGAATATATCCTAACAAATATAAAACCAGTAGCTTTTCTTACCTCACTATATTTGGATGTTTCAATTCTTTTAACAGTGAGATTTCTCTGATTGCTGTACTAGGTACGCCTTCTGTCTCCCTGCGGGGGGAAGACATTTTATGATGAAGCAGTCTCAGTCTTTCTAAGGAATGTTTTGGGCAGGATAGTTCAACATCCTCATGTCCTATGGGGATTGTCACGATTGATCACAAATTCCATCTATGGTTTTAATTAAAGCTATAGCTACTCTTAATCTACAAATTCCCACCTATCAAGATGAACCATCACTCAGTGGTGGGATTCAATTTTTTTTGCTACCAGTTCTGTGGGTGTGGCTTAGTGGGTGTGGCAGGGGAAAGATACTGCAAAATCCCATTCCCTCCCCACCCCACTAACCTGCTTTCTAGCTCCGTTCTCCTGTGCAGGGCAACTAAAGAAGACCCAGCCCATCAGCTGGGACTCAGGAGGTAGAGAATAGATGGGGGAGAGGGCAGTCAGAGGTGGCATTTGCCAGTTCTCCGAACTACTCAAAATTTCTGCTACCGGTTCTCCAGAACTGGCCAGAACCTGCTGAATACCACCTCTGCCATCACCCCATAAGTTTAAAAACAAGGGACCTAAGCAAGCAGTGGATTGTTCTGAGGGTGTACAGAGTTGTTACTGAATGGCTTAGAACATAAAGCAAGAGAGGAAGTCTGCCAGATAGAATTTAATTTAGTAATCTTCAGAAGCTTTTGAAGTACCTATCACACATTAAAAATTATTATGGTCAGATTATTAATTATGAATTATTGGTGCATTGCTTGAAGCAGCCACACTTTTATAGAAATAATGCCAGAGGTTAAAAAAACATTTTCTCAAGTTTAACATTTGGCATTACTATGCACATCCTGATAGAGAATATTTGTTCACTATCTGAGATGATCCAGAAAGACTGTTCCTGCAGAGAGGTATCCCATTTATTCCACTGCTATGAAACTGACATATAGGGCATGGTATAAGGGAATATAATACAGTTCCTTAAGGAAAATAAAAAAGCCCAAATATGTCTAGTGCCTGGATAGGATATTTGGGAATCTTTCTAGCAAAAGATAGAACATAAATAGATCGAGATGCTCCTGGTTTCTGATACAATTTCTCTATGTGGCCCAGTTGTGTCTCAAAGGGAAAAGTGAACATGCAGAGCTGCCACTTAGAAAAAGTGTGAAACGCAAAGAACTATATTCATATGTCCAGTTTGAGCCAAAATTCATCATAACTTATGCTCCTGAGGTACTTGCAATTATATTGTTAGATACTTTAAAATATACTTGATATAGAATCTGTTAAGTCATATTATCACTATGAACAAATTATAACCAAGATCTACCAAAAATTTTTTTAGAAATCCACATTTCCCTCATCCCAAACATATTTCAAGAAACACCAACACTTTTTCTTATAGTCTGTATTCCAAAATGTTATTTGAAAATCAGTGTACGAGTAGCAGGTTTAGGAATTGCTATCTGTGAAAATATATTTGATATTGATATTTATAGAATATATCCTATGATATATACTTATGAACTACAAGTTCAGGGTTTAGCTTCAGTACTTACGAATCAAGTCGGATCTTCTTCAGAGCAACTAACTGGCCTGTTTGCTTGTTTCTTGCTTTATACACGACTCCATAGGTGCCCTCCCCAATCTTTTCTACTTTCTGGAATACATCTTGGAATGTGTCCATTTTTTGCTTTCTGACTTGGTGCTATAAAATTTACCCACAAGTTTAGCAATAATACAACTTGCCATTTTTATACATCTCAATATTACATGCTGTCATTATTTTTTATCTCTTACAAACTAACTATGTACATTTGTATGAATGTTATTTAAAGACCTCTCTTAACAGCATCTTTAGAATGGACTGCCATCTTTTTAATTACATTTTAGCCTCTGTTCATAAAGCTGGTTTGTACAATGTTTAGTTTTTATAACATTTATTGTGTCATTTGAATTTCTGTTTCTTTTTTGTCCACCAATTATTATTTTTTTGCCTGCCAGTGAGTTTCATGCACCAATTATGTACATTTATTTTGGTTGTCTTGCACTCCTTCTTCCACCCTCACAAATAATTTAAGATTAATGAATGATGATTGACTATTACCTCTACCAATTTGTATACTCACATCATGATAATAACAAATGATTATATCCATGAAGGGCAAAAACTTTTCAGATATGAAATGTTAATACTACTGATGGGCAAAAAGTGAACAAGAACTTCCCACACTAAATAACTTTAATAAAGGTGGGATAATAAATAAATTTGTGATAACCTATCTATCTCCAGGAACAAAATATCTTGATTCTATATAATGAATGGAGACCTATTCAAGCCAAAACATTTAGCACACCAAATGTGTCCTTCCATTTCCCTCTCACTCCCCATCCACATGAATCTAAGTTAACTAAGCTAGCTAAGATACTCTGGAATACAAAAGACAAAAAATCTAACTTCCTTGTCAATAAAAATTAAATTAACAATTTATTTTCCCATAGTGATTTCCTCATATCTACCTATAGTAATTGGTTGGCCTGTCTCTAAATGGGCTGTCTACTGGATATACTAAAATTGCTCCAAAGCCTCCAAGAATAGTTAGAACACATTCTAATAAAATAAAATTCTAAAAAAATAAATAAAAAGCGCGCAGTCACCAAAACGGTTGTTACACCAGTTGAATTGCACCACTGTCTGTTGTTATAGAAATGGCTTGTATATATTATCACACAAAAATAAAAGTTGAGACTATGTTATTATCTTCTTTTACTGTGCCAAAAAGATGGAAGTTGATGCTTTTCTTTTTCCTTTTCCCTATACTTTTTCCTCTTCCCCTTTTCCTCCCCTATTTTTCCATTTCTTTTCATTTCTCTTCATATTTCTGTATTTTATATTATGATAAACTAATAAATATATGAATATTCAGAAAAGCTTTTTGGACCAAGTTGGGAATGCTTGCTTAAATAGCCGTGTTACACAATAAGCTCACATGAATGAGACAGGATGAATACACTAGAGAAAGGAATTGCTTCCTCAAGGAATTCCAAACACATGGACCTCTTCTACATTCTGTGTAACAAGTACTAGAATTCTAGAGTTGCCATATGTAAAGTTATTTCATTGTAAGTGCTGTATCCCTCCCTTCTTCCTTTCATACTGGGCAATAAAAATACTAAAATGATTTTAAAAATGATCAAAATTTGAACACTTGGCAAATGGCATGTATTATTACTGTTGCAGGGTCCCGGAATCATGTAATCACCTTTTGCAACCTTCTGAGTCAGTGGGGAAGCCAGATTCACTTAGCTAACTTAAGAACTGCCATGGTCCACTTAACAACTGTGGTTAAAAAAGGTAATAAAATGTAGCAATGCTCACTTAACAACTACCTTGCTTAGCAATGGAAATTTGGAGCTTAATTGTGGTTGTAAGGCGAGGATTATCTATACTTGCTAAAGCCACTATATTTAAAACTCTGGCTAAGCTTAGCAGCCCTTTGTCCAAACCACTATTAATACTGAAATTCTTTAATTTTTCTATAAAACCTCATGCCACTTGCAAAATGGGCTGCAAAATGTCCTGCCCAGCCCCCACTCCCAAAGTTGATCTGCAACCAAGATAGGCATGAAAAAAAAAAACCTCTTTACCCCACAGGGAGGGACCTCATGGCCGAAAGATAGGACTATAGTTGTTTTGAGGAGAAATCTTCAGGGAAAGCTACTGCTGTATTTTCAAGCCTCTTTGAAAGCTTTCAAGAGGCACTTCCACTTAGGAAAGAACTCCTGAGCTCAATCAATTTCTCTCCTCAGTGGTTCAGAGCTATAGCTCCCATAAAATTTCCTGACTTAAAAAATAAAAGAGTTGGTTTTTCAAGAATTACCCTTACGAGATTCTCTGGAATGTAACATTTTTGAAAGGAACACAACTCTCTACTAATCAGAGAAGGCCTCAGGCCAAACCTTGAACAAAAACTAGAATACTGTATTAGCTACTGACCAACCAGTCACACATACATACGCACATACAGACCCGTGTGCTTTTATGAATCATCCTTGCCAAAACTTATTATTCTTGTGTAAAAAATCAGCTCCTGCTCTCCTCAGGAGGCCTCTCACCTGCTGATCCAACCTTCCATTGGCCTCCATGCCCTTCTTCTTGCTGAACCACAGACTTCCCAAAGGATCCAAACTCACCCTGCTTCTGCACCACCAGAGGGAGACAGAAAAGCATGTGTATGGTTGGCTAGGCTGGGGAGGCCTTTAGATCCTTCCCCTCAAATAGCAGACTTTAAACACCCTCTGAAGCAGAATGTAGAAACGCAGAAGAAAAACAAAATACAAAATACAGAAGAAAAAACAAAACAGGGAGAACTTTATGATGCTTGCAATATAAGTAATTAAGCATTTCCCTTTATTTCTCTCCCCCCCCCAGTGTATAGCCTGTGAATTTCTCAAACACAAAAACAGAGAGGGTATCTGTGCCTCTCCAGAGTTCTAGTTGATCTAGTTCTCCTGATTTCCCTCCCCTTCAGCTGTATAAACTAAAAAAGAAAGAAAGAAAACCATTCCTATGAAGAGAGAATTATAATCAAGGCAGGCCTGCTATAGGATGCAGCCTAAATAAGTAATGCATTTCTCCTAGCATGTTCCTATACCCTAACAGTTTACATTTGGGGGGAAACATATATTTTGAATTTGAATATATAGAATGGGATGCCAGGCAGGAAAATCAAGCATATCCCTCCAAATCAAGATCATTTTTTGAAGTTGTAGGAGCTCTATCAGGAAGGGAAACAGTTTGTGCTAAATTTCAGTATATGAATGATTTCAACAAACAAACTTCAGACTGTATATCAACTGTTTTTATATCCCACAGTGGCAAATCTCAACAGATGACCCATTCAACATAAGCAGCCCTAGTTAAAGTAACATAACTTTTCCATATTTTATTTAATTACATCAAACTAATTAACAGAAAAGTAAGCATACACACACATTAACAATATAATTAAGATAAAAAATAAATAGGAAAAAGCCTTGGTGTAGTAAATGTGCCAGTCCAGATACTAACAGGCATCTGTTAATTTCTTAAATGTCGTTAAACTATGCATTTCAACAATTTATTACTAAAAATCAGATGTAGATGTTGAGTAATAATTCTTTTAACCATCCTATGTAATAGGTAACTAGATAGTGAGACATTTGGGACTTGTGTATTTAGCCAAGAGGCAAGCAGTGCTACTTCTATCAACATCTGATATTATACAGGTGAAACTCGAAAAATTAGAATATCATGCAAAAGTTCATTTATTTCAGTAATGCAACTTAAAAGGTAAAACTAATATATGAGATAGACTCATTACATGCAAAGCAAAATAGTTCAAGCCGTGATTTGTCATAATTGAGATAATTATGGCTTACAGCTCATGAAAACCCCAAATCCCCAATCTCAGAAAATTAGAATATTACATGCAATCAATAAAACAAGGATTGTACATAGAACAATATTGGACCTCTGAAAAGTATAAGCATGCATATGTACTCAGTACTTGGTTTGGGCCCCTTTTGCAGCAATTACTGCCTCAATGCGGCATGGCATGGAAGCGATCAGCCTGTGGTACTGCTGAGGTGTTATGAAAGATCAGGATGCTTCAATAGCGGCCTTCAGCTCTTCTGCATTGTTCGGTCTCATGTCTCTTTTCTCTTGGCAATGCCCCATAGATTCTCTATGGGGTTCAGGTCAGGCGAGTTTGCTGGCCAATCAAGCACAGTAATCCCACGGTCATTGAACCAGGTTTTGGTGCTTTTGGCAGTGTGGGCAGGTGCCAAGTCCTGCTGGAAAATGAAGTCAGCATCCCCATAAAGCTCGTCTGCGGAAGGAAACATGAAGTGCTCCAAAATCTCCTGGTAGATGGCTGCATTGACCCTGGACTTAATGAAGCACAGTGGACCAACACCAGCAGATGACATGGCTCCTCAAATCAACACAGACTGTGGAAACTTCACACTGGACTTCAAGCATCTTGTAGTGTGTACCTCACCATTCTTCCTCCAGATTCTGGGTCCTTGGTTTCCAAATGAGATGCAAAAGTTGCTCTCATCAGAAAAGAGGACTTTGGACCACTGAGCAACAGATCAGTTCTTTTTTTCTTTAGCCCAGATAAGACGCTTCTGACGTTTGTTGTTCAGGAGCGGCTTGACAAGAGGAATACGACATTTGAAGCCCATGTCCAGGATCCATCTGTGTGTGGTGGCTCTTGATGCACTGACTCCAGCCTCAGTCCACTCCTTGTGAAAGTCCCCAACACTTTTGAATGGCATTTCCTGACAATCCTCTCCAGGCTGCGGTCATCCCTGCTGCTTGTGCACCTTTTTTCTTCCACACTTTTCCCTTCCACATAACTTTCTATTAATGTGCTTTGATACAGCACTTTGGGAACATCCAACTTCGTTTGCAATTACCTTTTGAGGCTTTCCCTTCTTATGGAGGGTGTCAATGATGGTTTTCTGCACAACTGTCAGGTCAGCAGTCTTTCCCATGATTGTGATTCCTACTGAACCAGACTGAGAGACCATTTAAAGGCTCAGGAACCCTTTGCAGGTGTTATGGCTTAATTAGCTGATTAGAGTGGGACACTTTGAGCCTAGAATATTGAACCTTTTCACAATATTCTAATTTTCTGAGATTGTGGATTTGGGGTTTTCATGAACTGTAAGCCATAATCATCTCAATTATGACAAATCACAGCTTGAACTATCTTGCTTTGCATGTAATGAGTCTATCTCATATATTAGTTTCAACTTTTAAGTTGCATTACTGAAATAAATGAACTTTTGCACGATATTGTAATTTTTCGAGTTTCACCTGTAAGGTCTTATCAAGCCAGTATAAAACTAACATTGGAGTTAATTATGGACAAATTACCTCTGTCCAGAGATAAACATACTGTACTTGGAAAAATCAGCTGTAGCTGGGGAAAGATATTCAATAACCCTGTAGGGTTCTTTTAGAAACAAGACCCTTCATACCACAAGTCCACTGTCTCATGATTAATGCCCAGCTCGTATAAAGGACCCATGTCACTGATTTCAAGATGTAGGAATCACATCTGGCCAACAAATTGGATATTATTCAATCTGTTTTTCTAGCCACAAACACATACAGTTTTGTCTGGTCCTGATGAAAACGATTAAGATGGATGCCATTAGCACATTGATAGGATCTACCTGAAGCCTAATGATCACATCTACAATGTCTCATAAATATACAGTAAATACAGGCAACAAGACAGATCTTAGTAGGATTCTATAATACAAATTGAAAAATAAAGGAAAAGTTCCTTTTATTACTTTCTAGAACCAGCATATTAAGTTTTATTTCAGGATCAAATTAAAAGCTACATTATTTCACAATTCTGATATATTCTGAAATAGAAGGTGTTCAACAACTGTCAGGAAAATCAGAAATTGTATAAAGGGAAATGGGAGCATCCCAAGCCAATGAAAACACTTTTTTCTATCGATAAAATTAGAATGAAAAGCCATGCCCCTAACCAGCTACTAACCTTGGTTTCTTTAGCATATTAAGAAACTTCTTAATAACTTAAGGATCAAGCTTCTGTGATTTCCAAAAAATCATCTTCCAAAATAAAGATTTCTATTTAGCCCGTTGCATGCTCTATTGTTTATATGGGTTTCTAAACAGAATTATGTATAAGATTCAAAGACCCATTGTGGAACACTGGACATAATCTTCATTCTCTGAGTCTAAAACATTGTATCAAACCAATTTTAAATAAGTATTCACAAAACAATATATTCTACAACAAAACCAGGATTAAAGGCAAGATATGAGTGATCATATACAGAACAGCAAAAATAAATAAATCCTGGCTAAAGCATAGCACTAACATATGCTTCCTTCATGATATTTCCTTCTCTCCTGGAAATATTTTCTTTGTTCCTCTATGGCTTTTTCGAATAAGTGAAGATTTATTCCTTCTACACATGTAAATACACGAGCCCTTATAATCAACTCACCTGAAATAAAAAAGAATAAATAAATCACCACAAAGTTCTCAAATCCCAGCCAGAACAGAAAGAAGCAAGTAGGAGAAATAAAGGGTGCTTTGTCTAAACATTGTCTACTGAGTGACACTATTAAAGGTAATCAAAGACTTGAGATAATTCCTCAGGAAGAAAGGGGAATTTTCACACCAACCTCTCACCAGCAGATCAACGCATGAAATACTTGGCAGCTATAATCTGTGTGAGTTGAAAGTCATGAATGCACTTCCATTATTAATATATAAAGATGTGCCTTGCTCATGAGGCTCAGAAGATCTCTGCTACTCAACCATTAACATATGAAGATATGCCTTGCCCCTGGGGCCTCAGAAGCAGAACTCTGTTACTGAACAATTCCCCTCTGAGGTATTTGGTGCTACTGCAGCCTTCCAAATTTCACAGGAAAAATATTGAAATCTTTGCTCCTCATGTTTCTGGGATTAAAAAGAATCAACTTGATATGATAGTGTGATGAAGGCCAAGCTTTGTTTAGCCTAATCTTTCAAAATTCTCCTGAGCTTTCCAAGATAGGTATCTACCCCTACCACCAACCCTTTGTGAATAAAGAAAAGATGTCCTAGTAGGAACTCTGACATTTAATTGTTGCAGTAATGGTTCCTTTCTTGCCTACATGTACTATTTTTCATTAAGAAAAACCAGAATGATATTTAAGCCTGGACACAAGACAAAAATCATACTGGTTTAACATACGCATTGGTTCAGAGTGAGGTATCATCAGTACAGCTATGATACCCAGTTTATTTATGGTATTTAGTGTATGGCTAGTCCATCATACATGGACTAGTAATATATATTAAAATTTCACCTAGATTAGTAAAGCACGGTAAAATATAAATGTTAAAAAGATCTTGGTTCAAATATAGGTGATAGATACCCAGTTATATACTGAGCCAAACAGCAATATAGTGGAAGTCTGGATCTCATGTCTAGAGACTTTCAAGGCCTGGATGGGGAGAAGCAAACTCCAATTCAACCCAAGTAAGATTTAGTGACTTAAATTCAGAAGCCTAGTAATTCTGGGATTATCCCAACATGGCCTCTGGCTGAGGTAGGGCTTCCCCTAGCATGGCAGACCCACAATCTGCATCTTTTTTGTCTATTATAAAGCACCCATGATAGTAGCGTTTATGTTTAGCTGCCTTTAAGAATGAATTGGCTTAATTTTTTGCTGAGTCCTTAAGAATGGTTCTACTTGTTCATATTTATTGGGAGATTTTTTTGGTCTCATAGAATTAAAAATCATAGATATCCTTACCCTCCTTGAATTCAGTTTCCCCCAGGACAATATACCAAGACCCAAGTTGGGCCTGAAAAGGTTCGACAAACTTTGTGCAAACTGGAATACAGTGCTGATCAGATGCATGCTGAGCTGTTAAGATGGCTTGGGAAATGGCCATATCATAAGACTGAAGCCTGAAACAAAGTTTTAGATGTTGTTAATAGTTAAGATACACAAATTCATTTCCAGAATACTAATAATACTAACAATATCATGTATATATCATGAGGTAGGGGCAGAAATATCAAATAATACAGTAGTCAAAATATGTTTTAACCATATTTTATTATATTTAGACAGATATAAAGGTCAAACAATGTATGACAAATAGAATAGAATAAAATAGAATAGAATAGAATAGAATGGAATGGAATGGAATGGAATGGAATGGAATAGAAAATAGAATTCTTTATTGGCCAAGTTTGATTGGACACACAAGGAATTTGTCTTGGTGCAAATGCTCTCAGTGTATATAAAAGAAAAGATACATTTGTCAAGATAGAAATAGAAAACAATATACATAATATTTGGGAAAAATAGTTTAAAATCTAATTATTGGTCTAAACTAAAGGCAAGTTATTGGTCTAAATTTGAAAGGGAATGCTTTCAAGGTGAATCTAAATATAACAACATTTAAGTTGGACCATGGCAAACTATGTTTTATGGACCGACTCTGCGATCCATGAAACACAACACGCCATGGTCCAATAACATGGCAATAACATTGGTTAGAAGTAAATCTCTAAGCTAAATCCATACCATGTGCTAAATACAACTGAATCATGCCACATGTTCAATGCAAAATACAAAACCAAGCTGAGTACAGTGTACTCATTAACTCCATGTTAAGGAAAATACTGGTCTAATATTTTGGCCATTACAAAGTACAGTATACTCATTAACCCCATGTTAAGGAAAACGTTGGTTTAATATTTGGGCCATTACAAAGAATCTCTTTCCTTTCGAATCAAATCTTCAATGTCTATTCAGAAAAGGAACAGTAAATTCTTGATAGTTGTTGAAGATAAGAGGATCTAATTTTTTAAAATTTATCAACACCTAAAACACTGCCAACTCCACAATATTAGTCCAACAACACAAAGGCATATGCACAAACGCGTGCATGCACATGCACACACGCACATTTAAAAATACAAGTAATCCTCGATTTACAACAGTTCATTTAGTGACTGCTCAGTTACAACAGCACTGAAAAAAGTTACTTATAATCACTTTTCACACTTATGACCTTTGCAGCATCCCCATGATCATATGATTTACATTTGGATGCTTAGCAACTGACTCACATTTATGACGGTTGCTGTAGTAGTAATTTGTAGTAGCTATTGAGATCCTGTAGATGGCGCTAGGCGCTAGCAGCAAACTGCAGTGTCTAGAACCTATATAGGCCTCTTTGTTCTTGGCATGATCTCATTCTCTATCTTGGGTTGGAAAGTCCCAGACTTTCCGGAGTTATAGGTGATCTCATTTTACTAACATCACCACTATTCTTAAGGATTGGTTGGGAGGTTTTACCAATGTGGTTGGGAGGTTTCACCCATGTGGTATCTATTCTCCAATATAATGCTGTATCTATGCTATGTTTCCTTGCTCGTAAAAGGGGTATAAAAAGAATAAACACCACGTATGTGGTCAGACATCTTGGCACCCTGCACAATGACTGATCTTTGAAATCCATCAGGTTGCAGTGTCCTGGAGTCCTGTGATCTCTTTTTGCGACCTTCTGACAAGCAAGGTTAATGGGGAAACCAGATTCACTTAACAACCAGGTTACTAATTTAAGAACTGCAGTGATTCACTTAACAAATGTAGTGAGAAAAGTCACAAAATGGTGCAAACTCACTTAACAAATTTCTCACTTAGCAACATAAATTTCGAGCTCAATTGTGGTCATAAGTCAAGGACTACCTATAGTGGTGGGATTCCAATAATTTAACAACCGGTTCTCTGCCCTAATGACCAGCTGGGTGGATATGGCCATTCTGGGCATGGCCAGGGGCCTAGTAGGCCTCCCTGCAGCCTCTTTTGGGCCTAGTAGGCCTCCCTGCAGCCTCCCAGGAGCAAAAACAGGCTGCGGGGAGGCCTACCAGGCCACATAGTAGTACACACCACATCCCCACACGTCCTGTTTTGGGCATAGTTGGCCTCCCTGCACTTACCTGGGAGCCAAAAGGGGCCGCGGGGGGATTCCTGGAAGGGGCGGGGCGGGGCCAGCCAGCAATTTAACAACCAGTTCTGCTGAAACGGTACGAACCAGTTGAATTCCACCTGCATAAAAATTCCCTTCTTACCCTAATCTTCGGGTGCCATCTTGCTGACCCTAGCATATCCGATCATCTTTGATTTGGACTCTCTAGCTCAAGTTATCTAATAACTGAAAGGAAAAAGAAAACAACTGTTTCCAAATGAATCTAGGAAATCAGATCAGTGACACTGTCTCCAGTAGTAATTACAGAGAGCACAAACAGATGTTGCAATTATAGAGAAAATAAGCAGATACTGTATTGACCAAGTTAAAGAAAAATAGACGCACACTTACCTGCCATATGTTCTCAGGGTTTTCCCTTCCGGTACTGAAGTAGAGTTTATTTCCCAAGGAAAGTGATATGTTGCAACGCCTGGAAGCATTGTGCAGAATGGCTTGCAAAAGCAGATCCTGTTGTCAAACAAGATAAAAAGAACTTTCTATCAGAAATCTCCAATGTTTTTCTGCTCTGAATATTTATCCTGCTATAAAACTAAGAAGCGTTTTTACAGCATCCTCCTTACTAAAACATAAGTTTAATCAGAAATTATAATTTAATACCCCTAATCAACTTTCTGTTACTTTTCTGAAGCAACTGAAGTTTTTCTTTTCTCTGATTCCCAGTTTCCTTGTTCCCCCGGGCTGTTCTTTTTTCCTGTTCCCTTTCCAATACTGGCTGGCTAAGAAAAGAGAATCCTGCATGATCTGCCATAAATTCAAATAACAGCCAGTCTGAAACCTAACTGTACTCTTAATTTTAAGAACCAGTTTGGTCTAATACAGGTAATTAAGGCACCAGACTAGAAAGCAGGAGACCAAGAGTTCAAGTCCAGCCTTAATCATGAAAGAGCCCAACCCAACTCACAGGGTTGTTGTTGTGGGGAAAAGAGGAGGAGGAAGGTGTGTTAGATATGTACAGCTCCTTGAATTATTTGTAAAACCAATAAAGGCAGGATACAAATAAAATAAACAAATAAACACATAGCAGACGGCGGGGAAGTTTAACTTTAGTTCCCTCGAGTTAAATCTTTTGTTTACACTCTGGAAATTTACAAACACTCTTCCCAGGTTTTTGTTTTTTTTAACTGTCAATAACCAGGCAGATTATGCAACGTGATGCACGCTCAAAGCGAAACTTTTGGGTGGTAACCATGAATAGCTTGGATTATATGTAAACAGATACCTGGACCGAAAACAGGGTGCAATAATTCCAAGCAACCAATACCTTGGTTTCACAAGGACGCCCGGCGCATACTTCTACGAAATTAAACGTCGATGGTACAAAATCAACATTTGCATAAAAGCAGTGGGTTCTTTTTTCTTTTTCTTTTCCCCGGTTTCCTCCTAGCAATTAATGGAAAAACTTCCCAGGTCGAAGTGACGCCTCCTAAACTGGAAGCTCCGCTTATGCAAAAGGAAACGGCTCCGCGGAGTCACGCGGGTGCTCAGCGGCTCCCTATTGGGCCTCCGGGTCGTCACGGGGCGAAGGCTACATTTCTCCCAGTCCGGAAGCTTTTCCCGAGTGGAGTCAGCTGGCGGTTGTTATTCGCTGGAGCCACTGCCCGCCGCGATGATGAACGCGGATCTGCGGAAGGAGCGAGAGGCGGCTTCTTTCAAGACGGAGCTGCTAACTAACCTCTTGGACGGGGGCGCCGAGCGGACCCGGCGCCGCAGGGAGATCGGTGAGAGCGGGCGGGATAACGGGGATGGGATGCAAGAGAAAGCCGCGCAGCCCTTTGTGTGCGCGGGGGAGGCTTTCTGCTGCCTGCCCCAAGCAGGGGTGGCCCCTGCAAAGGTGGGTCGTTGCCCTTCGAGAACTTTACCGGCGTTTTCTCCATGAAAAGTGCACCTTTGCATCTGGACAAGCACCGCTTTGAAAGGGAACGCCTTCTCTCCCCCCCCCCCCCCAATTTTTGGACCATGCTCGCAAGCGGTGTCTCAGGATGCGTTTTAGAAAAGAGGCATTCCCACCCCAGGTAGCCCCCCCCAAAAAAAAAAAAAAGTTTGTCAAGTTACACAAGATGTATTGGTATGCCTAAAGCCTGGTTCACTTGATGCCTATCTAATGCCTTAAACTAGGGTTAATCTAACTAGGTCACTATGTCATGTTGCTGGGTATAGGCTTCACACTGACATCACCTACCCACACACATCACGGCGGGTGATGGCAGATTTCAACCATAAATCTTCCAGACAATAATAGAATAGAATAGAATAGAATAATAGAATAAGAATAGAATAGAATAGAATAGAATAGAATAGAATACTTTATTGGCCAAGTGTGATTGGACACACAAGGAATATACCTCACTCTCTAAAATAGGACTGTTTTAGGATAACACAACACAAGGAATTTCATGGCTGAAAGATGCTATGAGAAGAGATGGCTTTTAAGAATAAAGTAGTTGTTGCATCCTGCTGTCAAGCTTCCCTTTCTTGTATTCAATTAATTGACCTGTATCATCTAACATTATGTAAGAAATGATGACATGAAATCCTCACCAATAATGCTCACTTTTTTTTTCCTTTGCCAATCTTCATTCCCCCGCCCCCCCAAAGATAGGAAAGTAATTCATTTGTACTGGTTGTACTTTTCTAGATTTTGTGAATGCAGCTTTATGTTAATTATGAGCGGTATTAAATTGTAAAAGTGGTTACCAGAATGATAACTGCAGCTAAGAACATTAAATGTAGTTCCTAACAGATTTGTTTAAATAAGAAACATGCTCTTATTTAGCAGAACAGGGTCTTATATCTTTCTGAAGAAAACTGAACAATTAATATCTGTTCTTCCCATAGAATCCATTATTGCAAATGAACCCAGCTTCAACCATGAAGATTTAAATTTCCTCTCCCGTAGCCAACGCTATGAAGTAGCTATCAAAAAGAGTGCTCTTATGGTGTTGAAATTAAGGGAATATGGGATTGCAGATCCCGAAGAGATCTTCTGGTTTAAAAGGTACTTGTGTTCATTATTGGGTACATTAAAAGCATAAGATATAAGGGATGGTCATGCTTAATTTCAAAAGACCTTCATGGGACTTCCAAAAATACTCTTTAGAAGTCTTCAATTAGCAAAGCTTCCCTAAACATAGTTTTCTGGAGTGCCTATGCAACCTCAGTTCCTTTTATTATAGCAGTGGAAACTCGATATATGTACTGTAGCATTCATGAAGGTTAGGGACGTCGTTACATTTTAACCAGGCGAGATAATGTTGCTTTCTTTTAAAAGTACTTAACGTCAGCTAAGGACATTCACATTGACGACAGTTCTCTAGCTTGTTTTCTCTTCTGCCGCTTTTGTTTTTCTACCCTTTATGTCGTGGGACAGAAAACTTCCAATGTTGAAATAGTCTTGCTAGTTCAATCTTGTTGATTTTCCATTCCTCTCTGGTAGAGAGTCAGTAGAAGTAACCAGTAGAACGAATTTGGTGGCAGAGATAAGGTTGGAAGTTATTCATCCCGTTCTGAACTTAACCCTAATTGCTGATCTTTGAGCCCTTGGTTTAATAATTGTTTGGAAAAGGTCATTGCACTGCAATCAATTCAAGAAGAAACCAATTTTTTTCGGTGGGCGGAGCACTTCTTTTGCTGACATTGCAGCAGTCTTACTACATGTACTGGATAGGCAGATCGGGTTTCCCTCTGTAAATGTGGGGTAGGAAGCTCTCTTACGTATATACTAGAAAATTGCCACTGAAAATAAAAGTCTTGCTACTTAAAGCAAGTGACAACAAGAATCACTACTGGAAGCAGAAATGCCTTTGAATGCTGGCATGACATGGAAGGAGGAGGATGACTTAGTTCTTCTTTGTTGGTTCGTTGCAATGTTCATCCCTCATGCAGAAGGGAACGAAAGGAAAGTAATTTTATTTAAAGAGACAGATATAGATACCCCCTATGTTCTCTACATGTAATCCTCAACTTAAAGCCACTTGTTTAGTACTATTTTAAGTTTCAAAAGTACTGGAAAAGAGACTTATAATTGGTCTTCTTACTTATGACTGTCTGTAGTAATATCCCTATAATCACGTGATCAAAATTTGGGTGCTTGGCAACTGGCATGGATTTGCAAATGTGGCAGTGGCTCGAGGTCATGTGATCTTCCCAGTTGATTTAATGCTTAATGATCCCATGATTCACTTAACAACTGCAGTGATTCACTTAATAACTATGGCAAAAAAATAGCATAAAATCGGGTGTGACTCACTTAAGTACCTTGCTTAGAAATTGAACATTTGGTCCCAGTTATGACTATCAGTTGGGGGTTACCTGAAGGCTTACAAATCATTGATTAGGCTGAACAGATCTATCCCCTGATAATAGGAGTCTATATGCATTTTTCTGGGACTAATTTACAGGTAGTCCTCCAATTTTGACCACAATCAAGCCCAAAATTTCTGTTGCTAAGCAAGACAGTTGTTAAGTGAGTTTTTCCCCACCTTATTGCCTTTCTTGCCATAGTTGTGAACTAGTGCAGCTAATTTGGTAACACGGTTGTGACGTGAAAATCTGGCTTCCCCATTGAATTTGCTTGTCAGAAAGTTGCAAAAGATGATCACGTAACCCCGGAACACGGCAGCCGTCATAAGTATGAACCAATTGCCAAGCATCCAAATTTTGATCACATGATTGTGGGGATGCTGCAACAATTTTAAGTGTGAAAATGGTCATAAGTCACTTTTTTCAGTGTCCTTGTAATTTCAAATGGTTATTAAGTGAATGTTTATAAGTCGAGGACTACCTGTACTTCAGTTGAGTTTACTGCAAGTTTGAAATACGAGTCCATATTTCCATATTCTCTCTCTTATATTTATATACATTCAAGAAGTGGGGGCAGTATGTGCAAATAGGGGATAAATTTACAAAAGAGGTGCCTTATTTTACAAACTATTTCATTGGTAATCTTTAATGTAGATGTTACTACTAATATCGCATTTTTATTTTGTGTTGCCTTTTTTGTTATGTTCACCCTGACTAATACTTGTGTACACATAATGCATACTGATCTAAAGGGTGGGTTCCATGCTGACTTTTATTGTCTGGGGAAAAAGAACTTTTAAGTTGATTTCAGTGAGAGCTTGCTACCATTTATAACAAGGATGGAAAGTTGGGCAGCATATCGGATTTTCCTCCGTTTATAATCTTTTTATGAAGGATAGATATTGCTATTATGTTGCATTACAATCATAACTTAGTACTTTGATGCAACTACCTACAGTTTCCAAAAGCAACAGCTCTTTTGATATAAAGCAGCGATCCTTGTAGCAAGTGGTATTGTTCCAAAGCATTAATTCGTTCCATTTTGTGCCTATAAGGGTTGTCATAAAATGCAGTTACTGATCAGTGCAAAAAATGGGGATCATATGATTCTACAAAGACCTGCACTGACTGTGAATTGCCTACTGGGCACAATTTATATCCTGATATTGATCTTTAAAGCCTTAAAATAATTAGAATAATTTTGTTATTGTAGAAACTGTTTGAAATATGAAATGTAAAGCAAAAGACTTTTTTTTACATTTACAGAAAAAATCTACTGAATGTCAAGAGGTGCTCAGCAGAATAATTGAAATGCTGATAATTATTCTGATAACTAGTCCAATTGTCAAATGTGAATTTGATGTCATGCAGTGCTGTTTTTAATTCTATTTGCTCTTGCAACTGTTGGAAAGAATTTGCACTCTAATACTCTTGTTGGCTATTTGTTAACCAGAGTCTTGTTAAAGGATGTGCTTTGGACCATATGCAGAGCACTACAAGAAAACTGATTAGTAATACAACCCATTCCAAAAAGTACAGGTAATCCTTGATTTATAACCACAATTGAGCCCAAAATTTCTGTTGCTGAGGGAGACAGTTGTTAAGTAATTCTGCCCCATTTTATGATCTTTCTTGCCATAATTGTTAAGTGAATCAGCTGCAGTTTTTAAGTTGGTAACACATTTATTAATAGAATCTGGCTTCCTCATTGGCTTCCCTTGTCAGAAGGTTGCAAAAGGCAATCAATCCTCCCCAGGACACCACAACTGTCATAACCAATTCTCTGAATTTTGATCACAGGACCACTGGGGTTCTGTAATGGTTATAAGTGTGCAAAATGGTCATAAGTCACTTTTTTCAGTGCTGTTATAAGTTTGAATGGTCACTAAATGAATTGTTGAAAGTCGAGGACTACCTGCACTCAAAATGGCCTTGGATGCAGCTTAATACAGCTTAGCCCTATAATCAACAAATGTCAATTAACATTAATTACAATTTATCAAGAAATACATTGGATAGAAAAGCCTCACTTCTAATTAAACCATATCTTGAAGAGAGAGAAAGACAAGAGAGAGAGAAATAGGATATTTCCTGGCTCTCAAACATGGTAGGCCAGGTGAGAAACAGACATAGGCCAATATACTGTATAAAGAATGTTCCTCTTTATCTATTTCTTACCCTGGTCAAAGGTACAAAAGATGATGCAAGCTCTAACCATTCTAATCAAGATGGATTATTGAAGATAATTTCCATATATGTAATAAACAGGAAAATAGTAATCTTGAAAAATATAGTGGTAACTTCTGCTGGTTCCTCTGGGAGGTTAAAACATACCGTAATAGATTTGCATCAAATCATTTTTTAAAAAAATTGAGGAATGGCTTGAACATTATGTGATTTGCATTGAATTACCTGTTGTTATGGAAGATATCCAAAGTGGCACTCCTATTTTTGTAGGTCATAGGTATAAACACCTCTCTAAACGTGTATATGCATGTGCCTATGTATTGGAGCTATTAAACATGGTTGATGTGCTCTCCACCCACCACTTGAATATAATGTTTATCTGGTTAAATCCAGAATTTAATTTGAAATCTTAATCATGGATTCCATGCCTCTTTCACCAAGGATTTAGAAATTACTTAGGAACTGTGTGTAACTCCTGAACAAACCAAGCTACCCAAGCTATATTATACAACATAGAGCAATGATTCCATGGCTGCTATTAGCCACGATATAAGGAATCTACAATAACCTGTTGAAATGTGCCCATTCCCCACTTTGAGCAACCTTGCCCTCCTCTACCCTACTGAGTTTTACTTGCCCTCCTGCCCAGTTTTCCCTATTCACCAAGGATTCTCAGTTCTCATTTGTCGTCTCCCTTTTGTGATTCATCAAGGCCTGCAGAAACCTATTTATGTAAAGGCAGGGTTTGAAATTCCAGAAATTAACCTCAGGGGAAAATTAGTACCAATGAATATATTCTGCCCCTTAATTAAGAGGATGCCCATAATTGGCTCACAATGAGGTGCAGCTGCATGACTTAATCTGCATTCAGCATTATTTAAGCATCCTTCTTTTACTCTCAGCAACTACTCAGTTGACAAAACTTAGTTGAAATTATCTTAACAATGGCTGCAACATGTTGCAGCGTACTCTTTATTTTGATCCACTGGGTGAATCAACTGTGATGGATGGCTTTGTTTTGTGTGTAATTGAGGTCATTGTAAGTATTTAAATATTATGGCTGCCCATAGGTTTAGCTTACTGGGAGTAACAGAAACAGCTTAAATACTGTTTTAAGGAATTCTGATTAGGACTTGGATAAAAGATTGTCAGGAAATCTCAGGGTGGTAGACTAGGTTGGGAAGAGAGCTGAAGCAGTACCCAGAAAACTACATGGATGTGGTGCTTTCTCAGCATCTTTTCTAATATCACTGAAACTGAAAGAATGAAAAGAAACATCTGCCTACATGCCTATTTACAATTGGAGCAAAGGCCCTCGGCCCTTGGACTAATGGATGTGACCTGATCAGCCATCTTTCTCTCCCTCAGAACATGCATGGGCAAACACACTGCACCCATTGATGTGCACATCACCATGTTTGTGCCCACCTTACAGAGCCAATGCACAGATGCTCAGAAAAAGAAGTGGCTGCCCCTGGCCTCCAGCTTCCAGATAATCGGCACCTATGCTCAGACGGAATTGGGGCACGGTTAGTTCTTTTCAGAAATATATGGGTATTCCAATACAGTATTATTCAAATCTGCCCAGCAGTGGTAAAGAGCAAACACGCAGTCCTGGGTTGAATTTAATGTGTTGATTGGGGCTATTGGAGGGGTTTCTACCATTTGGGTCTTACAGGTTCAAAGCCAATATAAAAACTATTTATTTATGGGTGGTTTATGTTCTTTGCCTTGGATTTTTGTATATCATGTTCTTAAGAATTGGTATGAGCATTTATTTTCTCTTGCCAGCTGAAGTTTTCTCTAAAGTTAGGCAGCGTCAAATAAGTTTGTACTGAAATTATATGCAGTTTGTACTAAAATTATATGCAGAGCACTTCACATGAAGACTAAAGGCAATATCATACATTAGAAACTATAAGCTACATGCTTATGTACTGAACAAGACACAGACAAGTATGGTGGCAACTGTCAGGTGCAAAGAATCAGGACCATATGTTAAGTTCCAGTTTAGAAGATTTATTGCTCAAGTCTATACACAAGAATCTAGTCAACTAAATTGTCACTAAATAGGAGTCATCAGAAGTCAAGGAGGGTTGGATTTGGAGCATTTGTCTCCTCTTGACTCTGCCCCCAGACTCTGCCTCTTCTTCCTCAACAATAACATAAATAAACTAAAATGAATTGCTACCAACTGTCTAGCTGGTGTGGTCCTGTATGATTTGCATATGGAATATTGCAACATGATACACTAACATTGGGCAGATGACTATAATAATATTCTGCTATAAACATTATGTTAAAATGCCTTTCTAACTACATGTACCATTAAGGTTTTTGTTTTTTGTTTTATTTAGATTGGAATCGTGGTTGGATAATTTACTTTCTGGCATCTTATTTTCTTGCTATATTTTATTTGTCAAAGGTTTTAATTCCAACTGAAATAAAACAGAGGAGACCACCTTGACTCGCTTCCTTCATTATAGTATATGTTTGTGGAAAAAGTTCATTTGGTATTATTTATATTGGAATCTACATATTTTAGATATGTTTCACCTAAACCAATCTGGAAAGAATGAATGTGTGGTTGTATTCATAAGTATTTGTTGAACTGAGCAGTTCAATGATATCAACTGATAGAAAATTATCTTTTTTTTAATAAATAAATTTTATTAATTTTACAATTAAAACAAACCAACA